ATTGGATCACATTTAGATTGTGGTATCACATGCCTTAACCTACTTTTAAAAAGCAAGGTCTCTGAGGGATGGTGCTATATCTACCTATAGTGCCTATGATAATGCTCTTGTCTAGGAGCTTAAAAATAGTAAAGATATACATCAAAGGCTTATGAAGTTCTGAAATGTTAAAAAGTTTTCGTTTTCCATTAATACCAATGCTATCATGTGCTTGCTTCTACTTCTGGTTGTCACTTTTTCAAATATTTCTCCAGGCAAGGAACTGTTGGAATAAAAACATACACTATGAGTTCAATCCTTTGATTAATATTCTGGGGTTTGAAATCTTCTACCCTCGAGGTTACTATTAAAATAATGCAACACACTTGCACTGCTAGAGTGAAGAATCTGTCAGCAATTCCACAGTAACCTCTCATTTCCAGGAATTTATACAGGCATTAAACTTGCTATAGGTTGAATCTTGGCATATGAAAGCTCAGCTTGACAACGGATTTTACTTGTGCCTCCCCATCCGCTTCCCGCCTAAGCCCTCTCCAACTCTGACAGGACAAACACACTCTGAGCTTTTTTTTTTTTTTTTAAGTTTTCTAGAAGGTATTAGGCATCAATTTGATAGCCTCAAAATTATTGTCAAACTCTGTGCTCCACTAAAATATCTGAATCATCCATGAGAAGAAATCCAAAGGTAAATACCAAAAGGAAAATAACCTACAATAATCTACCTCAGCCATATTAGTAAGAATTTAACAAAAACTGAGAAGCAACCTTTGTCTTTTTTTAAAATTGTATTAATCATACATCACCTATATACAAGAATAAGTACAGAAAGGTTATTTTAAAATTTGCTCATGGAGCTGGTCATCATATACATTCTGAGAAGAAAATAGCTCCTCATTAAAATATCCATGATGACAAGGGTAAAACTGCCACTCTTCTTGAGTACACAGCCTACCTAGTCTTTCTATTGACCTAACTTTTCATTGCAAAGAGCATAGTGGTTTACTTATGCAGAACAATGTCTTGTGAGATACTGACCAAAGGATTGATAGTTAAAGGAATCCTTATAGAAAACTAGAGAAATCATTACTTAAAATTCTATGCTGAAAAACAGAAGCAAAGTATTTACTGTTATGCATTTCCATAATCAGAGATTAAAGGTTTACATTACAGACTAGTGGCAAGAGTCAGCAACTACATTATAAGACTATAGGCTTTGTATCCCTGCCGTAAATTACTAACATGTCCCTCTAGCCCAGTGGTCTCTACTGTGGAATACAAGAAAAATATTAGAATTTCTTTTTCTTTTAAAATTTTTATTAAAAGAAACTATTAATATACAATTATAGTAGTATATGCATAAATTGATAACTAAATACACTCATATGACTATGTGCTCAAAATTTTTTTGTTCTTTTACTCAATGATGAGAAAAGTTTGGAGGCAAGTGCTTTAGCCTACCTAGCAAATTCTGGTTTCCCTCAACTCCCCGCCCCAACCCCCATCTAATCACCAAACCTTAAGTACATCTTAAATTCATCAACCCTTATTACCACCACCCTAGAGACCAAGCTACCATCTCCATTTATTATCGACCCCATAGCAATAGCTCACTAGTAATCACTCGTTCCACAACCACTCTTGTCCCCTCCAAATCATTTCATATCACTCACTTGCTTAAAATGCTCGTTAAACTTCTCACTGTCCAAAGGTTAAATAAGAAGATTCTTAACAAGGTCTCCAATGTGCTATATGATCTGATAGCACATGTAAAGTGGTTATGACAGTACCTGGCACAGAGCACATGCTCATTAAATGTTACCTAGTACCTCAAGCTATTCCCACTCTGTTGTATCCACATGACTTACCGGTATTTCAAATCTTTCAACATATCTTTTTTACCTCAGCACTTTAGTAGAGTGTCCCATCCCCCATCTTATTCATTCTTCAAGTCTCAATTTCTGCACATATTCTTACCAGTCCCAAAACATCCTGTACTTATTTATAATAGCTACTACACTGTTAATTATGTAAATGGTGTTTGTGTCACCCTCACTAGAATGTCAATGCCATGAGGGTCAGCACTAGATTGGTCTTACCTACTGCTGTAAAGGTATGTCTAGCATTGTGCCTGACAGATAGCTGGTACTCAGTAAATGCTGACCAAGTGAATATGTTATCTACGTCCTCTTTCAAAAAACCTTCTCATCCTTGAGTTCTATTCTATTCAGCTTTCCTGGTTTTCCTCTTCTATCTCTGACAACTTGTTCTCTGGCTTATCTTCTCACCCTTGTTTCTCTTGGTGTTGCACAAGTATCTGTCCTTGTCCATCTTCATTAGTTCTGGAACCGATTTCTTCCTTGGCAATTGTATGTACAGGGTGGGCAAAAGTAGGCTTATAGTTGTTCATATGGAAAAAGACAGGTAGGTGATGATTATTGCACTAGCCTTATTAACTCTCATGTACTCACAACTATAAACCTCTTTTACCCACCCCTATATATCATCTTTCCAACTATCATCTCTAGGCAGAAGATTTCGCGTTTTTCCCCACTTCAATCTTTCTTAAACTCAAATTTCACATTTCCAATTGCTTCATAGAAATGTCTGCCTGCTTACCCTATAGTATCTCAGATTTAGTGATGACTAAAATTCAGATTATGAATATCTTCCCCAAAAGTTTATCGACCTGCAATTTCTTTCAGTAAATGACACAACTCTCCATTACTCAGGCCTGAAACCTAAATCTCTCTCCTAAATCCTCCCCCTGCTCCTTATATACCAACAATCAGCAGTCCTTTCCTGTGGATTCTGACTCTGTAACATTTCTCATATTTTCTCTGTTTTTCACTTCTGCTGCTACTCAAATTTGGGTCTTTGTTAGCTTTTTTTTTTGTACTACAACAATAATGTAGTATTCTCCTTGACTTCAATATTGTCGCCATATTAATGCTCCCGAAACGTATTTTTTATTAAAATTTTTTCCTTCCTCAAAAATTAAGGCTTCCCACTGCCTTCAACATAAAGCCCAATTTCTTGGCCTAGCATTTAAGAAGATTCTTGACTAGCGAAAAAAGTTTAATTCTTCATCTTGATCTTCCTGACAACAAAGCCACTAGCTGGCCTTGCCACTTCCCATTTTTCTCTGCCCGGAAAGTTTTTTAACCAGTTTTGATCTCCAAATCCTATGAAAACCCAATTCAAACACAACTTCTCATGAGGGCTATACTCACTGTTGGTGTGTCCTTCTCCGCCCCCAATACAATCAATAATCTCTCCCTCCTGGTATGTCTTTTAGTGCTTTATCATGGTACTGGGACTTTCCAACTTGAACTATACCCCCCTCCCCCCACAAAAAAAAAACCCACAAACAAACCCTGTTATACTCTCTATACAACTCTGAGTACTTTAAGGGGAGAGTTTATATTTGCTTTGCAAAGTACCACAAAATAATGGCTACAGAATTAGTAAGCGATCCAAGTCAAGTGTAATGGCCTTTTCTCTCCTACTCAATTCTAATCATTTCCAAAGTCCCTTCACAACAACAAACCCTCAAACCTATCACGACCCTCCTGCCCCCCGGAAAAAAAAAACAAAACACAACCACACACCCTAAATATCAATAAAGTAAAAGTGAAACTAAAATACCTTCTTTACGACTGGGGACTTGTACAATATTTCTATCTGCAATACCCTCTTCCCAATCCTTCATCTGGCTTCAATTCATTAATCCCACTCACTGGACTGTAAACTCCATGGGAGCAGGGACTTTTTTTTTTTTTTTTTAATTCACGGTTATACACCTAGTGCTTGGTTCCTGACAGGTATTCAAATACCTTTATTGCACGAACTACATTTTTGTTGAAATAACACCTTCTAGGGCTTCTGTGACCTCTCCCACCTAAACTGGACCTGCACATAGACTAGTAACCACATACTCTCTCCTGGACCGCCGTTCCCACCCTACAGGGCGCTCTTAAGCCCAAAGCTGATCTGCACGTGCATGCCTTCACTCAAACCCACTCACCAAGAGTGCAACGCTAGGGCTGCCCTCTCATAAACAGCTCGAGAAAGCTCTGCCCTCATTGCCTCTGCAAGGTGCACCCCTTTCCAAAGAATACATGTCCTTGTTAAAGGTGCTGCCCTTTTGATCCCCCCGCTGAGTTCTCGGCCCTTGGCTACATCGATACCTTAGGGGCGCGTCTAGGAAGGCGGGAGGGCATCGACCCCCCAACAGCCTAGGGGCAGAGAGCCTGAGAGCGACAGTGGGCGCTCAGTGGGAATGTCAGTCCTCTGCTCAACGCCCGGCACTCCCTAGGCCTAGCATCGGGATAGGATCTTGAGAGGGAGCCCCAGAGAAGACGAGAGCCACGGGCCGAGGGAGCGGGAAAGTCAAGTCACCAAAACCCTCGGAGGGAGGTTCGAGACCGGATTCCCAGAGCTGAGCCTGCTGGCCGTGCCCTCCGCCCGCGCGCACTCCCCCTCCCCCAACACTGCTGACGGGGGATAGTGGAAGCCGGGGGCGCGCGATCCCCCGCAAATTAGGTTTCCCGGCGACTGAGACCCCCAGGGAACTCCTCTCCCACCTCTTCCCTCGCGGAGGTCTCGAGCCGCCCCCGCGAAGCGGCTGGGAGGGGTCTCCCGTCACCACTCACCACTCCGCCCCGCTACTCCGTCCTTTCCCCGTGGAGCCTTCCGGACTGGTGCCGTCACCGGGCTCTCCGACAGCGGGGAACAAAGGTTCCCGGGGCACCATCGAGGGGGAAGCATTTTGGCTGTGCCACGGGAGGAAGTGGCGTCACTCCTTCCGGTCCGCCGGATTATGAATGACGGTCGGCGGACCGCTGTCTCCCCGGACACGCAGTCTTCTGTGGGTCGCCGGTGCTTCCTGGCAGCTAGGGGTCCGCTGGCGAAGACTCCGGCGGCGGCCTCGGA